CCCCCCACCAGAACCCCTCATATATATATATATATATAAAAGTTAAAAATCACAAGAAAAAACATGAAAGCATACAAATTGAAAAAACAAAATAGAATCAAACTCTATTAATTTCGAATAATCTAATTTTTTTTATCACAATGTATAATTAACAATTTAAAATATTTAAAAGATATAAACCTGTTATAGAAAAACGCAACTTCTAAAATAATGATAAATAACAATTTGAATCATATAAAATGAAACGGATGAAAAAAATATGTTTAATTTCTTCTCTATCCAAATAAAAACAAAAACAAAAGATATACCATATATATTAACGACTTATTAAAATAAAATAAACTAAAGATTAATTTTGTACAAAAATCTAATTTAATATGTAATAATTCTCCCTTGTTCTTCTTCTTGTTTGGTATGATTAAGAATTTCTTGATTTTCCGGTCAAAATCTAGCGGTATCGCGATGGCGATAATCGTTCCATACTCTAATATTTCTTTCCCCTCTTCTCAGTGATGATGAAGCTTTTCGTTTAATACCATTATAGTTACGTCTTGGTGCACCAGGACATGTTGTTAAAATTGGAATTTTTGATTCCAAAGAAGTTGGAGTCCTAAATCCATCATTGTCATCTTCTTGTAGCACTACCACTTGGTTTTCAACAACAACAATGGGGTGTGGTGCTACTATTATATCATTGACAACCTCATCTTCAACGTGTTGTATATCTTCTTGTACTAATTCTAATTCTTCTTCAACGTGTTGTATAACTATTGTCTCATTAACAACATCTTGATGATCATCTTGATTAGAAACTTGATGCAATATTACTATATTGTTAGTGTCCTTTGTAATATCTTGACACCCTTTTGGATCTTCTTGCAATACCGTTATTTTCTTGATTCCTATTGTAATATCTTGACACTTTTGTGGATTGTTTTGGTGCAATGTTTCTCTTTTGTTGGCATCATCATCTTTTTGTTCATCCATTATAATATCTTGATGCAATATGACAATTTTCTTGATATCATCATCTTTTTGATGATTTGTTGTAATATCTAGACACCCTTTTGGATCTTTAAAAGTGGGTAGTTGTTGGTTTTCACTAGAATTGCTCTCATCAAAATTTGACATATTCATGATAGATGAAATCTTGAAACAAGAAAGGGTCTTGGGGGGTTAAAAATTGTTTTTTTCTTTTGTTGATGTATTATAAAGGGGAGAATAAGAATAGGTGTAGTAGTTACATTGGAATTAGGAGAAGAAGAAGAGTTTTTTTTTTTTATCAAATAAAAGTTTACCAAATATTGTTGGACCTAGCTAGCTCTTTTAGTTCAAATTGATGGTAATTTGTGTATAGTTTCACAAGTTGGAAGAGGAAAGGGAAAGAGAAACAAAAGATGGAAAATAATTATTACGTTTTATATTAAGGTTTATATATGGTTAAAGTTTTGGGTGAAGGATCCAATGCATACAAACTCTCATAAAATTCTTCTTTTTTAAGTAGTTTTTGGGTGAAGGATCATAATATTATTTGTTGTGTTTAATTTGGTCATGAATATGACTTCGTAATTATAGTAATTAACTCATTTTTATATTGGTTTTTAAATGTCAAACATTATAAATTTTGATAAATGTATTGTTTTATTATATTAGTAATTAAAAAGAATACAACTTAATTATAGCATTTAGTATGTATATAGTTTTCAAACATCTATATAACTTTTAAATATTAAACTAATTTAATTTAATTTAGCTTAAAAATTAATTATACTAGTAAAAGTGAAGGGAATGGTTATTTCTTTTATTTTTCATTTTTTCATTCTATTTCCGTTCAATTTATTTATTCAGATTTAATTTGACGGAAAATGTAATATCTTTTTTGAATCATATTATCTTAAATTAAAGATATATCATATATATTACACTATATTTTATTCTTGTTATCTTATATGAGGTAATAAAAAATTATTTTAAATATTGTACAAATATATATTTTTTAATTTCGTACATAGGGTAGCTTTTGTTTGGTTTTCTGATTTCCTACGCACTTTGATGCAAAGCAGGCACGTGATTTAGCTAGGGGACCAATAGCTATTAGACCTTCCTTTTTTTAAATAAAAAAAAATTATATTAAATAATAATTTAATTTTGATATTTTACTTTGACATATTTAAAATAATAACTAACTTTTGAAGATACATGATAATGGATTACATATAATAGGGAGGAGAGAAGAAGCGAGACTGGGAGAGAGAGGAGAGAAAGTGGAAGAGATGTGAATTGTATATGTGTATTGGTTAGATAATTGTATATTATTTGTATATATGACAAGAGAGATTGGGAGAGGGAGGAGAGAGGCGAGTGAGAGAAGGCAGAGAGAGGGAGAGAGGTGAATTATATATGTATATTGGTTAGATAATTGTATATTATACATATGCATTTGTATAAAAAACAATTGATATTGGGAGAGAGAGGAGAGAGGCGAGCGAGATTGAGAGAGGCGATCGAGAGAGGGAGGAGAGTAGGAGAGAGGTGAATTTTATATGTATATTGATTGAATAATTGTATATTATACATATGTATTTATATATTTTGGTGAATTATACATATACAAATGTGACTAATTATACAAACTCGAAGTTATCCCACATAATTAATGTATATGTTAGTCGTGAGTGGTAATTATAACAAACTATAGCTATGATGAGTAACTAAATAGTATAAATTTATTTAACCGCGTAATTACCCCATAAATTAATGATGAAATGATCAATAGCAATAGCAAATAATTATATGATAATTAGAGCAAAGAACACGAAGAGTAGAACTGAACTTGAAGAGTAAGTAAGAAATTAAAGTATAGTAACAATACAAATGAGAAAAACTAGGCAATGCATGACCATTCGTTAACCTTTCTATCCTAATTATCGATATTCATAATTTTTTTATTTAAGATCATATCTCCTCGATAAGTTACAACATGTGTATATGTATATCTTATCTAATCATATTTTTTCCATACTTTTTCGACCTTCATCTATTTCTCCTGATTAGGCCTTAGAAAATTGATGCATTAAGTAAGCCAATATTTTTATCGTTTGATTAGAAAAAAAGAAAATAATGACGATTAAAAATAAATAAAGGTAGTAGTATCTTTTTAAGAGACCGTTCAATAATTTGATGCACAAATATGAAAATATATACTCCGATCATCTCATTTTAGTTTATGCGGTAAAGTTTCCCTTATTTGACTAAATTTTTGAAATTTGTGCTAGTAAAATAATATAATATACTGTGTGATCAGAAAAAATTGACATTAAGATAAAATGAAGGTTTTTCAATTTTTTAAAAGTGATGTGTTTGAAATGTACTAAAAGATATTGTCAGATTAATTAAAAGGGAAAATACCCAAGTACCCCCTCAACCTATGTCCGAAATTGTAGAGACACATTTATACTATACTAAGGTCCTATTACCCTCTGAACTTATTTTATATGTAATTTTCTACCCCTTTTTAGCCTACGTGGCACTAGTTCGAAAAAAAAAGTCAACCATTGTTGGGCCCACAAGATAGTGCCACGTAAGCTAAAAAGGGGTAAAAAATTATTAATAAAATAAGTTCAGAGGGGTAATAGGACCTTAGTATAGTATAAGTGTGTCTCTGAAATTTCGGGCATATGTTGAGGGGGTACTTGGGCATTATCCCTAATTAAAATGAAAGAATTGGAGTAATTATCATATTGAATGAAACAGTAAGAACTAAGAAGGAAAACTTACGTAAATATACTATAATAAAAAAATGGGAAAAGGGTCAAATATGCCCCTAAACTATTTGAAAAGGTTTAGATATACCCTCCGTTTAAAGTTTGGTTC